TTGCTCACAGTCACCCCAAAGCTCTTCCCCCATCTCCCCAGCATCCCACAGCTCAAACTCAGAACTCAGGGGCCAGCTTGAATCCTCAGCAAAGCTGCTTAAAAACAGAAGATGAAGCCTCCAATGCTTAAGCTTCCAATTTCCTAATATTTCAGAAACCTAACAAACAGCTGGAAGATATGCAGCACAAAGGATTGGAGCTAGCCAAACTAAGCAACATAAAAAGATGTGCAAACTGGCTGCCCAACAGAATCCAATTAAACTGCAGGCACAGCCACCTCTAGAATCATAGAGCTCAGGACTAAGGGCCCTTGGATATGTCTAGCCAGTACAGAAGACCAAGGAAGTGAGGGCCTCAGAGATGGTGACTTTCCCCGGGTTTCACATCAAGAGTGTGTTAGGGACAAAACAAAGCCCCCCGATAGACCATACTGCCAGTTTCCTGTCTCCATACCCTCTACAATTCAAGGGAAAACCGGAATGTGGTCAACAAGACCTTATATCCCAACCACACCATAACTAGGCAAAGGGATTTGTTATGGAGACAATTACCTTTAAAAAATTAATTAAGCCCTGGGTTCTATCCCCAGCATGACATAAAAACTAAGTGCAGCTGTACATGCTTGTAAACCCAGCATTTGGGAATAGAAACAGAGTCGTCCTTGGCAATATAACAAGATCAAGGCTAGCCTGAGCTACATGAAACCCTGCCAAGAGAGGTGAGGAGAGACCAAAGAAAGAGAGCATATAGGATCCTCAGCATGTCTCCCTCAAAACTGGGGAGAGTGCATGGCAAGGTAACTTAAGGATGTCTATATAGCCCTGTTATTATAGCCTGCACTTCTAAAAAGCTAATTTATGCAGACTACATGAGATTTTAAGAGTATCCGGCTCAGAGACCCACAACTATGTAGGGATTATTTGTCAAGTGACAACTTGGACCTTGAGATCTTAGTAGGAGCCCTGGCTTCAAGGAGAGACCCTGAGGCTGCCTGGGAGATATCTGAAAACAACACCAAGTTCTGTGCTGTTCATATCATTGAAAAGAATTGACTGAGCTTAGGACAGGACCGGCTGGACATCCTGCAGATAGAGTGAAGCCAGCATCACAGGACCTCATGCCATTGGAGGCTGTGGACTCTATCGCAAGTGGAGCCACTGAAGAGCTCTGCACTAGAGGTGAACTGAGCAGACAATCTTGCATTCTGGAACAACCTCTCACATCTGTGTGGAGAGTTACTGGACTGTGGCCAAGTGCTACAATGTGTAAAGCTAGCCATTGGTCCTTCGAGAATCTTTTTGCACTCATTATTTGTATTCAGGATAATAGTTAAAAGGCTGCATTCCTGAGCCATGCAGAACTAGGCTTTATTCCCACCCAACCTGTTGCTGCCTGTGTGGTTTTGAACAAATTATTTAAATAGGCCTGAGCCCTCTCTTTCATTTCTCCCCAGGGAGGTTATGATGCCTAGATCATAGGATTTTGAAGTGCTCATGGATTCTTCATAGATGAAGATGATGATGATGTGTGTGTGTGTGGAATATTTCTGATAACTCTCCCATTGTATTAGAGGATATCGTCACATTTTCCTTTTGGGGTTTTTGTGTGTGTGGTACTGAGGATTGAGCCTAAGATCTCATGTGTGCTAGGCAAGTGCTCCATCACTCAGCTATATTCCCAGGTCTTCTACCAAAAGGGCTAGATAGGTGGCTCAGTAGTTAAGAGCATTGGCTGCTCTTGCAGAAGACCCAAGCTCAATTCCTAGGACTAATATGTTAGCTCACAACCATCTGTGACTCCAGATCTAGGGAATCTAACAACTTCTAACCTCCAGGAGTATACATGGTACACAGACACATGTGCAGGCTAAACACCCATACACACAAATAAACTCAAAAAATAAAATTCTACCAGAGCATTGCTACTAGTGTGTGGGAAAAAAATGGCAATCTTATTTTGTTAATGAAGAAGGCAAGGTAAACTAAGGTCAAAGCCAACCTTGGATATGACTCAAACCACCCAGAAACAGTGCTGCGGAGAATTAAACTGAGTTGCAAGGGGCCAGTATCATGAGAGAAAGCTTTGGTTGCCATAGCAACCTTTTTAACCAAACACTGGAGATCTGCTGGCGTGTACAACACTAACAACATCTGGCCTCTCTATTATCCCTTCACAAGCAAAAAAATAAGAGTGAAAAGGGAAAGAAAATGCTCTGTGAACTAATCTTTAGGCCAATTATGTGTCTCATGTTTGTGCTGGCGCCTCTGGCCCAGGTTTTTAGAACTCTCGGGAGCCATGCCACTGTCTGAAGAGTCATTTCTTACTGTAAATTGCCTCAGGGCACATTTGTGCTGAGTCTGCACCTTTTCTCAGTAAGATAAGTCCAGATGTATCATCTGTCAGCTGCATGAGCAAAGCACTGTGGGAGGTCCTGCACCAAATGAGTGACAGCAGTTATGTAGCAACAGGAAGACAGGAGGGGCCACTGAGGCTGCTTCCTTCACCTCCTGTGCCTCATTTATTCTCTGTTCACTAATTTTATCATAGAAGCCGTGTGTGGTGTGCAACTCAGCACTAAACCTGGAGTCAGACCTGATGCTACCTCCAGCTGCATGTCTACCACAGGCGAGGCCAGTTCTGTCTCCAACATCTGTTTCCTCATCAGTAGAGGGCAGCACTAATTTCAGCTGTTTCCCAAATGTGATATAGCACCACTGTTCTAGACCCTTCTCAGAGGGTGATTAAAGGACTCTCACAGTGTCCTCAAGAGCCCCATTCCACATAACAGATTTGGACTCCCAACATGGGCTTTGAGCAGACATTGGTGGAGGGCCAGGAGCTCCTGAGCCTGTAGACAGAAGAACCTCTGGGGAAAGCTGTATGCTGTTTCTTACAGTGAGCATGTGGACTTCTGGACTAATTAGCTCAGAGGTAACTCTAAGATCTGAAGGCAGAGGGGACCTCATCACATCATCTCCCACAGCTCAGAATCTCCATCTTTAAAGGGACCAAAGTTCCAGAAGCCGTTAATGTATGTTAGGTGTCTAGGAAGGAAGGAAGAGAAGGTAGCTCCGTAGATCCCGACTCTGAGCTGTCAGTGTGGGATTTTATCAGAGACAGCCATAACATCCTAAAGGAAAAGAGCCCTATACAATGTCATTGGAAAACTGTAACAGGACTTAGCTTCACTCAACTGTAAAAGAGAGCTGCTTGGCCAGTGGTGACTTTACAATTGCAGTGTGTACCCTTAAAGCTGGCCGGAGTGGGGAGCTCTGGGAGAGAAAATGAGAAGATGCCAGGTGGTTGCTGTCGTTAATGGAGCCCCAATAGAGACCCAGTAAAGCTTGGCCCTGGCTTTATCTTGTGACATGTCCACACCAAGGACCCAGGCGCTGGCACCTGTGTGTGACGTCATAATTCCTAAACAGATACAGTCTGGCCGGGTCTGGCTCTTTCTGACCCAGACATTCTGGCTAACATGATGTCTTAGAAAGGCATTTCCAGACCATTGCTAATGCCTCTGCCTTTCCCAAGTGGCTTCAAACAACTCCATTCTGACTGTGACTCTCATGACCTCCCGCACAAAGCATCCTGGGAGGTTTCTTCTTGTGGAAAAGCAAAGAGTCTCCTCTGTCATGAGAGGCTAAGCATTTACAGATAAAACAACTGCAGTGTGCAGGCTGTGGTGTGTGCTAAAGACAGAAACTAGGAAAATACCCAAGAAAGCAAATAAAAAGTGGAGGCCAGCGTTATCTAGGAGAGTGGACATATGACCTGAAGGATGGGGCACGGGAGAAGAGAGGAAAGGTACTCTTGGCCTCCTCATTTCCCATCCCCCACAAGCTGTCCGCCCCCTCCCCCGCCCTCCCTCCCTGCCTCCCTCCCTCCCTCCCTCCCTCCCTCCTTCCCTCCCTCCCTCTCTCTTTCTCTCTTTACACACACACCCCCCACACACACACTGTTCCTTAAATTTGCCTGGCCCTCTGTGTTCCCCTTCTGGCCCTTCCCTGGGGTCTAATGTGGGGAGCTGGGGGCTCTCCAGACATGCCTCCATCAAAGATAGAACTACAGGCTGTGTGTCAGTGTGGAGAGACGTCTAGGCTGTGTTCTCTGCCAGCAGTGGATAAATGAACAGGAGAAAGAGAAGGGCATACTCAGAGGTGACACCCCCCCATAGCCTTCTTTGGAGGGCAGATGGTTCCGTGACACACGGTGGACACAGCCACAGATGCCCATGGGCCTCGGAAGCCAAGGGAGGCCAGGAGCATACAGGGTGGCTGTACCGTTTCCTGGCTGGGGGTATGGGGAAGCTTGTCAGGAACATGGAGTCCACACAGCTGGAGACTGTCACAGGGCAAGTGTGGGGTGGGGTGGGAGGCTGGTGAAAGGCAGCAGAGGGCACAGCAGGAGATGAGCTACCTCAGAGCTATACTCTCCAGAGTCTGTCTGGGGAGAGAATACAGGGGTCTCTCAGCATTGACCTATTAAGTCCCTAGGAAGCCACACATGGAAAAAAAGCCAAATTCAGGAGGCATGCCCACTTAGCAATAAAAATCTCTGTTGAATTTCTTACAAAGGTTGAGGAGTCCTGTGACCAGCCCCCTCCACCCCCAAACGGCTTGGGGAAAGGGACTTGTTTCTTAACCTCAACTTCTTTCCAGGGAAGGGAATGCTGGTCACACCCTACTGGCAAGGCTAAAAGTCAGTGTGACTCTCTCCATAATGCTATGGTCCAGCTAGCGTCAGCCCTCGATTCCCTCTCCCCACTCAGGAAGGTGAAGGACTGTAAAGGACATGGCTGTGACAGTTCTGAGACCCAGCCAGCCCAGGAAGGGAAATGAATTCAAAGGGACCTGTGGCTACTGTGGTATTGGGTCACCAGGTCAGCAGCAGCATGTCAGTGTGTCTCTTGTCCCTCATACATTCTCTCAAGGGCCACTGTGCTCAGCACCTGCTCTGTCTGAAGATGTCCATTCATGGTCCTCTGATTTTCTTCCAGGGGCGCTGCATCAACTTCACCAGAGTGAAGAACACTCAGGCAGCCAAGTACCCACTTA